TTCCTCAAAGTGACTACCGTGCAATCATATTCATCAGGATGTAGCGCAAGTTGTTTGTAGGCGCTCTCCAAATCAAACGCCGTAGTCAGCAATCGTGGATCCAGGTTCAACCACGAAGGATGTACCACTCCTTTCAACCTGTTGCCATCACTCAAACAGAAGTCCATGTGACCCCCATGAATGCAGAAACGTGTAACAGCTTGTAAACACCATATAGTGTGGTCCAGTGCATGCAAGTCAATCTTCTCGCCACTGCTGAAGGCCTGATTCAAATGATTTTCTTTCATGTCATCGATTGGCCGCACCTTTCCACGCTGAAAAACTGAAAACCTCCGAACCGGTAACCACCTGTCAAACAGTTCGTCAACCTCACGCACTGATAAGGGGCCCTCAAGCCAGTGTTTCTCAGAAGCCTCTTTCCAAGGCACTCCCCTCCAAGATTCGACCAGAAGCTTCTTGCTATCAAGCGTTGGCGTCTGTGTTGACAACAAGCTGCGGACTGCTGCATATTCAGAAATGATTTGAGGAACCCCTCGACCTTTTGCTTGTTGGTTAGGTCGAGCTTTGTCTAAGGGATTCGCAACACGTTGTCGCTCCAAAGTTCCAAAAACCATGTGCTCCAAGATATTGGCATACTTAGATGGGCTGTGGGGTTACTAACTGGTTAAGTGAGTTAGGTTGAAAATTAAGATGAATACTAACTAGTTAGAATGGAAATTAAATACGAATAGTTAAGTAATTAGTAACTGGTTAGCTAACTAGTTACTAAGTATTTAGTTGTGCTTTTTTTCATATTTTCATATAAACTTTAAATATACATACAAAGTACAATGCCAAAGAATCATTGTGCTTTTTATGTTTGAGCCAGCAAGGGCTACAAGCTTCTTGAAGGTTGAGCCCAGAATGGCTAATTTCTTTTCACATGTGACCACCAAAAAAAGCCAAGGCTTCTGATGTGGAACATGAAACATGCCCCCCATTGTCCACAGAATATATGAGCTGTTGCTGTTGATCAGCTTTGATTATGTGGATGAAACCAAGCATTCAGCCCAAAAAGGCTCCAAATATATAAGTATAGAAATATCATTTCTGTCAGCACAAGAATCGCTGCCACATATTTCTTTCCTTTTCATCTAAAGCTCCATGGGGTCAAAGTTGTGATCTTTTGCTTGTCTTTGGCAAAAGTCACTGCAACCAGCAATTCTTGCAAGGGAACAACCACATGGCTCCTTTTGTCCTCCCATTCAGCAAAAGTTTCAGACAACTTCTTCAAATGCAGCACATTCATCACAGCCAATCATCTCCATGATTGTTGGTGAGAAAGTAAAGAATTTGTCCACAGTCAAACTTGTTGCCAGTATGGCTTGTCAAGTATACCAAATCACCATGGGAACACAAGCCATGCTTGTTTCTGGCATGGTTGCTGCTGCTGACATTTTCCCAGGTGTGCCAAATCCCTGCAGCCAAAGGAACCAACTTCATTGCCAAAGATTTTGCTTGCAACAAACCTGGTTCAATTGCAAATACATCAGGATCTGAAAGCCTTTCCATCTCAAGGGTTAAAACTTCATAGTACACAGACCATTCGAAATTGCTCAAGTTCTGAATCAATGTTGCAATTCTTCCTGGCATCTTGTTCTTTCTCTCCATACAAAAGGTATTGGGAATACATTGGTGCTTGGACAGCATTTGGTGAAAGTGCAGAAGCCAATGGTGCTTCTTGATGAGCTTCCAATCCAAGTCAACACACTGCTTCAAGCTGCTTTCTGCTGCTTCCAAAAGTTGCAAGGGAACCACTGTACCATGCCAAGTGGCTTGAAGCAAGTCCATGAGGCACAGGATTGACAAAAAGGCCTCCACTTCTTCTTTGCATGCATTGGCTGGGAGACACACCACTCTCATATAGTGTGCAACAATGCTGCATAAAGTCAAAAGTTCACTGGCAGTGGCAATGATTTTCTTGTGCTTCCTGTCCTTGGCCAATCTTTTGCTCTGAAACAAGGGTCCCAAGTTAATGTTGCTCAAAGATTTTGGCAAGTGAAAGTTCTGCACGTAAGAAGACAGTAGATCCCATTGGTCCAGCTTATCCAGCACATTGAAAAGAGCCATGTTCATCACACCATTTGATAATAGACAATGCATCCAATCCCAACTGTTTTGCTTGGTGGGCCTCAAGATGGGGCTGAGTGTTGGATTGGCCAGCAATGCATGAGGTGAGAAGCTAATCCCAGAAGCTTGCTCCCACTGCTGGGATTCTTTTTTGGAAACATCACCATATCTTTCTTTCATCCTGTCCCAGCTCTTGAAAATTTCCTCGTCAGAAACCAAATGCAGCTGTTCAAATTTGCAATGCTTTGCAATCTCTGACATGAAGCCATCTTCCCCATCATTGTCATTGTCATCAGCAAGCTGGAAAATATTAGCACACTGCTGGCAAAAGCGGCTACCACTGTCTCCTTTGGTGCTCCAAGAAAATTTGGCAGCTTGACCATCCATAATAAGAAAGCCAAGCTGCAAGAGGAGTCTTTTGCCAATTGCTGCATGCCCTGGTGGCTCTTGCAGTTGCAGTCCCAAATCTTGCACATTCCCATAGCTGCTGTAAAATATCGACTCCAGCCTATCAAGATATCCAATTGAACCTTGAGGTATCTCACCAGAAGGTTGAGTTCTTCCATCTTGGTGTATATGTCATGTACTTGTCCTCCTTGTGCCAAGCAGCTGGACCATATATTGGTCAGGCTGCAACTCATTGGGCCCATCAGTGCCTTCAAGTCCTTGAGCACCTTGAGGATCCCCATCGGGAGGAGGCAAATGATGCAAATGCCCAGTGCCACAAGCATGGTCATCTAGTCAAAGTCCAGGTCACAATGTGGAGCCTTGAGTGCTGTGGAGCCAAAGTCCTGGAGGTTCTTGCTGACAGCATGCACTGGACAAGCTCATGTTGGAGCCATTTCAAGGCTTACCCACACAGAACCTCCTATGTATTTGGTAGTTTTACATGTGTGAACCTTATAGTTAATTGTCTTTAACAATGTTATTCGCAATCATCTGAAAGCACACTGAAAATTCCATGGTTGAGCCTTCAGGCTAATCTGCCAGCTGCATGAGTTCACATGGGTTAAGCTTTCAGGGCTGATGTAGGAGCATCACCAGCTGGGAAGGGTTGAGCCAGTAGGGCTAGTGTGTAGCAGCACAACTGAATTTTGAGCCTCCAGGGCTAATGTGGTAGGGCTATCTACTGAAAGGAGTTGAGCCACCAGGGCTAATTTAAACAAGTACAAATCCTTACCCAAGAGCTAGACAAATGAAAATAAAACGGAAAAAAGTAAGTTTAGATTTATCTAAAAGGCTTCCATTTCAATTCAGCATGCTGAAATGAAATGAAAACCTTTTGAAACACATTTTTTTTGTAAATGGGTTGTTTCTTCCTCTAGAAACTTAAGCCTCACTGGGCTAATTTAGAACACAAATGATTTTTTTTCAGCAAACACCATTGAGCCTCTTTAGGGCTAATGTGTCTTCTCTAAGCTTGGTTGCAGCTGCTGGAGCTCCTTTTCTTTTGGTCTCAAGCCATTTCCACAGTTAAGCCAATATCCAGCCCTTAGCAGGCTTTAACTCAGCCATTGGCAGGCTTCCATCTGCATATTGTGCATACCCACTGGTGTAAAACACAACAACATTTGTTTTGAACAACTTGGTGACATGTAAATTTCTGAACATATCAGCAATCACCAGGGATATCCACATTTCTTAGGGCCTGCATCGCCCCATTTTTCAATCGCAGATTCTAAACATAAAACCTGAAACCCAGTGCTGTGGTGGCCTGTGAAAAGTGTACAGATGCGATCCAATTCCTTCCATCTGCCCTTGTTGTACAGGGCAAGCATCAAAACACATCTATTTTGCCAACCTGATTTCCATTTCTTAACAGATTCAGGGTGCAAGTGCTCCTTCAGCAACTGGGACTCCTCTGGAGTGAGTGGCACTAGCTCACTATGCCACCACTTGAAACCAGGGGGTGGGTACTGCGTCACAGGGTCATAGTCTGCAAACAAACCATCAGAACTGGAAGCAGGAGCTTCTCCATCATTGGAATCACCCACCATAGTTTCCTTGCAGTCAGTGGCCCACTCCTGCAGGGACTTACATGAAAACAACAACAACAACAACAACCTAAACTTTCAAAGAAAGATTTGTCTTTCCCACTATATCCTCTGTGGCTGGGTAGCTGGTGGCATCACCAGTGGTCTTGGAGTCATCCTGGTTCGAATGGGCACCATGTTGAGCCTTGAGGCTGGTGGCATCACCAGTGGTCTGGGAGTCATCTAGGTCAGCTTCACATTGACCCCATGCTCTGACTCCAGCAAGGCCTGCATGTCCTTTTGGACTTGGTGTTCCATGGCTTCAGGTCTCTGTAGCAAAGTCAGTAAACACACATTTATTGACACCTGGACACTATGTGGTTCTTCATCTGTCTTGCAGCTCATGCTTTTGCCCTAACATCCATGTCTTCCTGTTGTTATTTGCACCCCTCTGCAAGGCCACTAGCAGCCTCATTGCTGCAAAGAAAGATTGAATTTACAACCATGGCTGCCACTTGCCCCCAAAAGAAGTGACAAACATGTTTGGGCCTTTGGGGCCAATAAGACCACATTGGTTCCTAATATATTTGAGCCTGAAGGCTAATGTGTTGCAACAAGACTGTATAGCCTGATGGCTAATGTGCTTCAAATGACAAGGCAACAGCATCATGAGCCATTTAAGCCAATGTCCCAAACAAAGTCTTTGGGCTATTGGAGACACATATCACAAACAACAAAAAGTTTGAGCCATGAAGGCTAATGTGTAGCAATGCCATGCGATTGGGTTTGAGCCACATGGGCTAGTGACTTTCAATCACAACAACATGTTTGAACAATGAAGGCTAATGTGCTGGCAGGACAGCACTGGGCTGCACACACAAGCACACTTTTTCCACCACTTTCTCAGCTCTGAATCCTTCAGTCCTCCTTCTTGTCCTCCTTGGCAGCTCTCTTTTTGTATGTCCTGGAGGTTGTCTCTTCCAAGCAGCCTGGCAAAAGGAATCTGAATACAGCACAGAGCATCTTGGCCTCCAACTTCACCATCACATCTGCCATCTGCTCGGGCAGAGCATGGAGACCATGGTACCATGGACATCCACCTCCACCACACATTCCACCCCTCTCCTCCTTTTTGCAGGAGCTTCATCAGTATCTTCCACAGGAGGATCCTTCAGCTTCTCATTTCTCATATTCTTCAACTCTTGCATCTTTGGGCCACCAGGCAGAGAAGCATTTCTGTCAGCTTTGCCACAAATCAACTGGTTGATGGTGAAGTTGGTGGCAGACAACTTCAAATACTTTTCACCATTCTCATCCTGCCAAATCCAATAATCCCAGCAAGTAAGATTCAAACCATGCTTTTCAAAAAGGCAATGCTCATTTGGGCAACAACCCTGTCCGCAACCACCAGCTTCTCCGGAATCTGACACTCCTTTCCTTTGTCAAAAGAAATGTTATAGAGCTGTTTGATTTCCACCTGGTGATCTTCCTCCATCATGAGGTCTCAAGAGCCGAAAAAGTTGCGCATGGAATGCACAATGTGACAGCTTTTCCAAACACACTCCACTTCAGGAACAAATCAATTTCATTGTCACCTGGAATGCAAAAAACTACCAGCTCACAAAGCTAATTCGCCAGAGTGTTCAAAAAAAGCCCAAAAGGCTAATGTGTGAAAACAAGAAATCACCAGCCCACATGGCTAATTTGTGAATTTGCACAAACATGAGCCCAAAAGGCTAATTTGCAAGCTATAAAATACAAGAAAATAGGTTTTATTTCCAACATTTTTTTTAATCTAACTACAGTAACTCAGCTAACTAATTAGCTGGTTTAAGTCTAAGTGCTTAGCTAGCTTCACTAAGTAGTTAATATTCTCTTAAGATCTTTAAGATGGTTAGCTAACAATTATAAAAAAAAATAGTAACTATCTTAAAACCATTAGGTAAGTTACAAGGATTAGTAATCAGTTAGGAGGTGCTTAGCATATAGTTAAGATCTAGTTAGTAAAGCAATAATAACTTACTTAACTGTAGCAAGTAGTTACTAAAACCACAGCCCATCTAAGTACTGTTCACATAATGCTCTTGGGTACTCAGCTTCTTTTGCTGTGTTGAACCCGCCCTTCTCATAGTCATATCCCCAGGGCTTATGCGGATGTGACCCATCACAAAATTCTTCCAAAGCCCAAAACTCTTCATTGCTACACAAGAAGGCAGTGTTCTTCTTGCGCTCTCCACCGTACGCACATGCATGTAAACAAACAAAGTGACCATGTGCCAGTGCAAAACTCATTTCAGGAAGTTCCCACAGCCATGACTTGGAAGGGTTCTCGATGGTCCACGGCACTCCCTGTTCATGCAAAAACTGGATGAACTGATCCGCACAAGCATATAACTCATTTGCAGCTGTAACTTTCAATTGTTGATCCGGTGTTAGGCCTGGCAAGCCATGCAAATGAGTGCTGTCTCTAAGTGGCGGCGGCCCTGGTGTTCCATCAGCCATAGGAATGCCGCGGGCCTTTGAACAGGTCCCACATGGGAGTGCAATGTGCACCCCCGCAACTTTGTGGTCGCGCACAATGCGCCGCAGTAATTGGTCGGCATAGGCAGAGGTCAAATCTAAAACAACCAGCCGACACTTTGGCACGTGTCGATTTCTCGGGCAGTCAATGGGGATCACTTGAAATCCTCTTTGTTGAACCACTGAACTCAAAATTCCACAACCTGCACAAGCTTCAATAAAAATAGGTGTGTCCTTGTAACCTGTAGAGCTCCCAAAAATTGAATCCGAATTCACTGCACCTGCATCATTGCCCCATGGCTTCGACATGGGCTTTGCTTCAGCACCATCCACCGGGTCAGCTTGACTCGAATGCAAGTTTGGCGCGTCTCCCCATTGCTTATGGGACGACGCACCTCCCTCCGCACATGCTTGCAACTTTGTTGAACTGCATTGTCCAAGCTCGGATCGGCGCTTGCGACCCGCACCAGCTTCGGTGTCATCACTTTTGTGCTCATCGTCCATGGCTGTAACCGGAAGTCAGTTACTCTTCTTGTTGGGACAATCCAACGCCGGATGCTGCTTCATGCATCCCCGTACACAACATAAATGCAATCCACGCTCGCACTTCTGCCCCGCCACTGGAGCTTGGCATGTCTTCAAGTTGTAGCCAAAGCACAACCGATGGCCCTTAGGAGTAGAACCAACCGCCCCGAGTTTCAGAAGTTCGGTGGGCACACGTTGGAAAGGAGTAGCTTGGACCTTTCCTTGCCCCTTGCCTTTTGGTCCCGTCTTGGCTCTCTTGTGCGGTTGCTCATGGTTGTAACCTGTCTGATTGGTTGGTGTCTCTTTCACTGGTGTCCCTCCTTGTGACATCCTCGGTTGTAAAAGGTGCCTGAACTCAGAGAAGTTGAAAACCTTCTCAAACGCTAGATCACATGGGCGGCCTGTCTGAGTGGCCTTTATGCCTGACCTGGTCTGCTCACCCAACAGCACAAAGAACTTTTTATCAGCTGCTTCTAACTGCTTCATTGACACACGCTGATATCCAGTTGGGGGCTCTTGCATACGAACATCCAGCAACAACTCAACAAGCTTGTCATGGTTGGGATAGTCCAAAACGTTCGCCTGATCCAATGCCAGTCCTCTACGCACCAATGCGTAGCGCACTTGAATCTCTGACATCCCTTGCATTGGCTCGATCTTTGAGGTCCGGGCCAGCTTCAAAGTTCCATCACTGTTGAATGACAAGTCAGTATCTTTCTTGACATTGTTTGCAAGTTCATACTCTCGAATTATGCAAAGACTCCACTCAACATATGAAAGCCTGTCTGACTCGTATGCAGCACAGCATTTGTCCACTAAGGCATCTGCAGGCTCGTACTAGCCTCGGATCGCCAGCCCTGCCAGCTTCTTCTGTTGTATTCGAAGCCTTTCAGCTCTCTCAGCAGGTGCAAGACGCCTAGAAACCGACTCATCAGTCTGCTTGACCTGTGACTCTATATCAGCTACAACATTGGCATAACTCTCGTTGAAAAGCCTCCTAAGGACGCTGAGTTCAGCAGCATTAGGTTCGCGACCCATCGTCGCTTCCAGCATATCAGTGAACGGCTTGTCACTGGCCGCTCCCGGTGCATAGTTGCAGAAAAATGCAAACAAAGCCATGTTGTGAAATCCTTTGTCAACAAATTGTTTCAAGACTTCCGGTGACAATCCCATGTGCAAAGCTCTCTGTTCGAAAACGGCTGAACTGTCACCGTAAGACATGGCTGCCACGTAAGCTCCAGGCGTGCGCTTGCACAAGTTAAAGGCTTACCTTGACCTTCCAAACACCTGTGCCTGTACATGAAATCAGTTTCATAACCTGAATGTCATCACGAATTCAGCTTCTCAACGCAACTTTTTAAACTTTCCTGCGCTGTTATTTACCGCTAAAAATTGTCATGTCATGAGCATTGCAACGTATCCAACATCAAGCTGGATTGTGAAAAGCTGCAACGCCACAAAACAAATAAATTCAACGCACTCAGCCCGATGCATCTTTGTCCCCTGAACCCAGGGGGAAATTCATTTTCCCTTTCGTTCAGAATGGTCACTGCTTCGTGACATCTTTCATGAGACATGACATGTGAATCACGGTAAAAATCAATGCACAACAAATGAGAAAGAGTTTGCTGACGTTTCGCGTTTGTTTAAATAACTTTGACACATCGTCCCTTGCCCTTGCTTCGAACAAGATTCAATGAAATGACATCGAAGAAAGAAAAATGTGATCTTCCAAACTTTTCTTCAACTGCCACATCACTGATCGTTTGCGTTTGTTTGGACATATCACATATCTATACAAAACCCTCGCTGACATGCACCGCACATTTCTCCCTGCCTTTTAGGTCCTAAAGCATCCACTGCAAATGGGGTGCATGAAAGAGGGCTTTGTCAACAAGATGATATACCTGTTGTTGACTGATCGGCCACATGTGAAAGTAAGGCCACTTTCATCAGAGATGGAGTGAATGCATCTCGAAACTCGGTGCCGGGCGTACTGTTGGCCTTCTCTCTCAGCTCCTGTCGGAGCCCATTTTCCGACCAGCTCAGAAACTGCAGTTTCTTCTTCGTCCGGGTTTGCATCTTCCTCGCTTGCTGACCCCCTGCTCGAGCTGGTATCCGACTCAGTGTCATCGTCCTGAGCTTGAACCGCCGCTTCAGCAGGAATGTCATCTGGAACAAAATACCCAGATCGTGTTGAATCGGGAAAGAACTTGCCATCTTTCACAGCCTTGATCATTGCCACCATTTTCCGCAAGGGGGCGCTAATTGCATCCCTTGAGTACGTCAGCATTGACCTGTCTCTCCCTTCACTGTGGTATCCAAGCAACCTTCCTGTTCCATGGTCCAATCCAAACTTGGCTGCCATCGACAGCATAGTCGCCTTGCAGGAGTGTGTTGCCAGGCGATCCCTGGCTGAACTTTCAACTTTCAGCAGGGACCGCAACCAGTCAGCCGCTGCACTCACCGTCAAAGGCATTCTGGCCCAACCCCCGCCAAGCTGTGGCGACGGCAACATTGGAAAAGGCTGTCCGCCATGTAACCCGGATTGATGCCTCAACTCAAGCCACACCGGTATCCAGCTGACGTCCATCAAAGCTTCCACCGGAATTGCAACCGGTAAAAACCGGATTTTTCGCTCCAGAGTCACAGAAGTCTTTGTTCTTTCTGCCCTGGCTTCCAAGAAACCTGTAATTCCAAACTCGGTCTCTTTGATGTCCAACTGTAGGTCCACAAGCTGAAGCCCATCGCTGTACCGCAAGCGCCCATAGATGAGCACCAGAAAGAACCCTGATGCAATCCTGTCATAACTGGTCCGTGCAGTATCATGGACAGTCTTCTCCAGCATCAGGATCTGATCTGCTGTCAAAGGAGGTCGCTGCACCAGCTTCCGTCTGTCGGCGTAGTGAGCATCAGATACCCCTTTGATACGCCCAGATTTAGATGCAACATCTCCCCCAGAAAGTCCCAGTATATGGAACGCGAAAGACAGTGAAATCAACAATGATCTCGGTGCAGTTGGGGCCCAGTTCGACTGTGCTTTTAAATACTGGTAAACCATGTCCTCTTGTACTGGAAAGAAGTCCAAGCCCCGATCTCGCCAAAACTTGGCATATTTCAGCAAAGGTCCCGCACGTCCATGCAACGTAGCTGTAGCCTTACCAGCAAGGGCGTCGACCACCGACTCCACGAGGCTTCCACGAGCTAGCTGCATGCCGCTCGACGATGCCACACTCCGTCCAATGGCCCATGCACTCAGTTTCATTAAAGCAAGCGTACACCACTTCTTGCAGGCACATTTACGTTCCCAGCTAAGTTTTTCCTGCCACAGCCGCTGATCAGATGCACTGGCTGCTCGAAGACCCACCTTTGTAAAAGCATCTTCGACCATCTCACTTTCAATCACAGCAGTTTGTTCATCTGGCAGGCATGGCATTGGGGGCATCCTGCACTTCCATGTTGGCATCGAAAAAGATTCCGACTGTACCATCATCGGACTTTTCAGTTTCAAATCCCATGGCATGACATGTAACTTCTTGCTCTGTTTGGAGTTCCAGCAAAACTGAGTGTGCAAGGAAAAGGCATCTGGAGTTCTTGTTGACCACTCATCAAAAATTGCCTGTTCTCGATCATCCCTGGTCCGCTTACAGCTCATCTGAACTATCAGAAACTGAAGGCTCGGACGCAAAATGAGCTGCCACCGGTGGCGTAGGCACTGTCCAGGACGACAGCGCTAAGCCAAGGCGCCACTCTGTTGACGCAAGAGCCACCTCTGAACGGTCAACCAGGATGACAACACAGGTGAATGAAAGGCGCACTTGTGTAAATGTGTCCAAAAAAGCGTAAACTCGCAAGCTGAACTCAAATCTTCTCCAAATCAAATCCAAAAAGGCGCAGGAGTTATATCCGTTGAGGAGTCTGGCCAGCGAGCACACTAAGACCATTCACAACTCTGATGCAGCTGACAGGTCAATGGATGGACACAGCAACCACCAAAAACAGGTGAGCCACCCACAAACAAAGGAAATGCCGCACAGCAACCACACTGGACAGCTGAACGTGTTGTGAGATGACTGCTTCACCGCTGCAATCCCTCGAGCTCGAATACCCATCAACTACAAAATTGGCGCCTAACGCAAAGATGAGGGTCTTCCCTCCCACCCTCCACTTGACATGTAAAATTCACATATAAAAATATTCGCATGAGCATGCTTGTGAACATGCAGCATTGACAGATTGAATGTTTCACGTTTGTCTTCAGCTTGTTTGAAGTTTCGTTGTTTAAAAGAACACGTGAGATTCAACGTCACTGCATTTATTCACTCTTTCTTTCTTTTTAAAAAAAACATCTGCGTACAAACATAACAAAATAAACAAGGTGAACGCTTCACACTTTCAAAGCTTGTTCTTTTCACTTGGGTTTGGCTGTGCAATACAAATCTTAGAGACCAGCTTACTTCGATAGAAGGAGGCGAGGAGAAGGGAGGCTTATCCCTAATTCAAGGTTTAATCTATAAACAACCATTGGCAAGCCAACAGTAATCTTAAGTGATTTTTTCCATGGATTTTATTGGTGTTGCCATGGTGTTCATTAAGTTTTGCATGTGTTCATTGATTCTTGCATGGCTTTCCAAGGTTTATTTAGGGATCCACGATGTACACAAAAGTAACTGTAAATATTTAGCTGTAAATCCATATATATATATATACTTATCTATATACATATATATATATATTATACCATTAGTTAACAATGTAAATATAGTATATCTATATCTATATAAAAATGTTTGTATACAAAACTATATGTATATATAACTATGAATATACAACTATCTTTAAATAACCATTTGAAGCTTTTGTATATATAAAACTAAATGATATGTAAATATAATGACAGATATAAAAGCATTTGTATATATATAACTTGAAACACAACTACATGTGTATTTCACTATTATATATATATAGACATACATGATTATATATATAAAAGAAAATATGGAACAATGTATTTACAAGTATGCAAAAATTGGATTCACATAAAACAAAAACGGAATTAGGGTGGATTGGGGGAGGATGCAGCCCCCCCCCAAAAAAAAAATGAATATGGTACTCAAGGTGTATATACTGGGCAACATGCATCTTGTGACCATATGGAACGTATGTTGAGGCAGAACCGTGACAGTCATGGAAAACGTGGTGAAACACAAATCAAGTAGATATAGTGGGAGAATAGGTTTCAACAAGTGTCCTGAAATACTGTTTTCAGAGCCCAAAAAAGGGCTAATTAGGACACTTGTTGAAAACATATGTCAATTCCTCTCACCAAAGCACGCAAATAAACTCAAAAGTAAAAAATACAAAAACCAAGAAACCGCAAAAGCCAACGAGCCAAAATAACGTCAAGTATATACCTTCAATATGTATTACATTGAATTTATTTCATAACATTTTTGCTTCAGAAATCGTTTGCGAAGATGACTTTACTTCAGAACATCTATTTTTACCTGAGAAGTCACTGGTATAAATTTTGTTTTTCTTTCATGGTATTTAGTACATTTTGCAGCAAAGGACTCAAAGGACATAAACTTATACAGGTTCCACATGCTAATTTCTTCACATTCCTCACAACATTTGGACATTCCTTCTGTCTCCACTATCAGATTCACGGAAATTCGGAAAAGCTATCACACATCTTTTGGCGCATTCTTGATGCACTTTTGATTCACTTTTGATGCACTTTTCCTTTTTTTACATCTTACTAATTCTGCAAAAATCCACAAAAAAAATACGCAAAATCTTCTGGATCAGTAAAATTGCTAAATTAGTGAAATTACTAGCGTAGACATGTTTCCATCAGAGAATTTACTTGAGATGGGTTGTGCTGAGAATATTGACTTTACTTTTGGTAATCTATAAAAAGTCCTTACTTGACTGGTCACTTGCAAAGATTCTGGTTTTACTTGGCCATATCCATTAAACATACAAGTATGTGACAAAACCAATCCTTTGTTATGGAAAATTGGATTGTCACATTGTGAACTAAAACGACATTCACTAAATCTAAAAAATGCTACTGCATTTCTGTTACAAAATCACAATTTCAATCAAAAATGCTAAGAAAAAACTGCACGGTCGATGCACTTTTGATGCACATTTGGTTTTTCACAAAATTTACTAACATCAAGAAAACTGGAGAAAAAATACGTAATTTCTTTCCTTCTAGTAAATTTACTAAATTAGTAAATTTACTAGTTTTGGAGACTCAGGGTATACAAAATCATCAAAACGAATTCATCCCCACCTTCAAATTAAGTGAGACTTGGGATGATGAGACTAACAAACAACTTGGCCTGGTAGTAGTTCAGCCCACTCAAATCTACAGATAGGCGTTCACCCAGTCCTGAAAGGGGAGTACACCTAAGCAAGCAGGAGCTTCACTGGTATGTGTTTAAAAATCACATATATATATATATACATATGCATCTAGAGGTATGTATTATCCCCAAAATCAATATTCCATTGGTAGGTCGGTGATTTGGTGGAAATCTTCTACCACACAAATTTTCGTTGCAATACGAACTGACTATTTACATGGTACTGCTTGTTTAAACATCCTAGTCCTTCAGAAGCCGACCTGGTTGGACCTGGGAATCGATAGCATCTATTCCACTCTGGAGATCTTTGTGCTTTCCGGTCATTGTCCCTGACAAAACCATGTGGACACTAGCTGGATCACGCTTGCTGTTGGACTCGCGACCTTCAGCCAAGGACAGAAAGTTGTCTTCATTCTGTGGACGAAGGATAGTGGACCGCTGCTCAACCAGAAGCGCTGCAGACTGAATCGTTGACCACGTTGCGAAATCAAGGCTGCCAGACACGTTCCCAGGTATGGGCAATCCTGAGATGGCAGTTCAACAAGAGCTGTTATTGACGCATTCCATGTTATACCCTAGTATTATATATATATAATTTGTTATTATTATTATATATATATGTATATATCTAAGTCGTTTTTGCAAAACAGGACACAACAGGTACCACTCAGCAAACCGTCAAAGTTTCGTCATTGTCAAAGATTTTGTGATTGACATCAGAACTCTCTTCTTTTTCCCGCTGGTCTGCCAGCCATTGAACAACTGGCTGCATGAAGCCTCTTTGAAGCACAGCAGGGATTCGCAGTCGTCCCGATTCCAGGGAGAGAGAGACCTGTGACGGTGCATGGAACAGTGCAAACAAAACACATTTTTGTTTCTGGGAATCATATCTTCATAGTTTTGCAGGTTACAAAAATCAAGTGTTACTTACGTAATCTTACCTACTTTTCATCGGGGGCCTAGCCTCATCAGTCAAACGAATGGATTTGCCAGCGACAGGACTCAGCAAGTGGAGCCAAAACGTGAGAGCTTCAACTGACCTGAGTTACAGCTGCCTGTGTCCCCAATTGTGCCCGTGAAAAAAAGATGCCAAACTATCACAGCAGGTCCCATAAACACCAAAAAAATGTGGCTGAAACAGAGGGTATGGGACGAACGCTTGCCAGCGCATCTTTCCTCGTGAAAATCCAGTGAAACAACTGTGCCATACCACTTCCAGTTGAGGACACGATATCGAACGTCTCATGGTCAAGAGTGTAGTTGTCAACCATCTCTGGTGAATATCGGGGATTTCTGTTGCGCAGTTTTCCGCAAACCTATGCATCAAAGGTGGCAGAGAAGAAAAAAATAGTGAACATTACAGGGGTATTGCCAACGTTTCCATCCAAAAAACAAATGGTGGAAAAGGTTAGTCTTCGCAGATTCCAGCTACAGCAAGTTTGGGTGCCACAACACCAAACATATCCTCGTATATTCTTGTAATGGGGACAACG